CCTGCGGTGGGATTTCGGCGGTGGAGAGGCCTCCACGGGTTGCCCGGGGAGCTGGGGATGCCAGGGCTGCAGGTCCTATCCAAGCACCGGGTGAGGGGGCTCTTGTTTTCAAGCTGTGCTTTTTCACTTGCGAGGCACGGAGATTATCTTTGGAGGTGATGCCGTCTCTTATACTCCACCATTAATGTAGCCAAAGACTAGTTGGCTACCCAGGTTTTGGGGGCTGGGAACCAGGTTGGTGGAGTCAGGATAGAAAAACCAGTTAACAAGTGTTTGCTAATGGACCAAAAAAGGGGTTCTACAGAAAATAATCTCACAGGTTGAGCTGACCATAAATTCCTAACTGGGCAGGTCACAGTGAGTAGTCATGCCCCAGGCATATGAGTCCTTCAGTAAAAGGTTTATCTTTGCCTTAAGCAGGCCCTGGCCTTTGTTTCTGTGCATCTAGGTTAACACACCTTTGAAGTGCTTCTTTTCAGACCCCTCAAGAGAAACTACCATCTAGAGAGCATATACTCTTAACTATCCTGTAATGATCCCCACCTTCATGAATTGTACTCTCTCCTCCTTAATGCCTGATGCACAAAAGCTACAAACTTCATTCTAAGCATTTTTCTCAGTGTTCAGATCTTGCTTCCAGACATATCCTCTGTTTGACTCAAAATCTTATAAAAATTCACTGGTTTGGAAGTTCTTACCTGGATATTACAATGATTCAGTCTATTGTTTAAGTAACATTCATGACTGACTTATCTTCCACCAACTGGTGAGTCAGAGATTCTGTTTCCAACATTTTGTAGCCAAAACCTCCATAGATTTAGGGGTGATTTGCTTGAGATCACCCGGTTAAGAAGTAGAGCTTGGAATTACAATCCCTTTTTTACTCAATTATGAGTTCTTTACAAAATATTTTTTATACATTCATGAATCATGTTTTATGAGGCTGGTACTATTGTTGGCCAGCATAAGACATTAAACATAAACCCACTGCTAACACACGGCAATGGTGTGGCTGAAGTGAAGGCAATACAGAGGAAGGCAGGATGATCCTGAACTGCCATTCAAATGAACTGGACAGTCACAGCTGGCTTCCCAGAGGAAGAATGTGGATCCTGCATGAGACTGTGCACTTGGAAACAGAATCAAGTAGGTAATTCCTTCATCAAAAGGACTTAGAAAAAATATGGTGAGCCTCATGCATAATTGAACTAGACAAAAATGGAAGAGCAGCTGATAGAAGGAAAGAGAAATTAAGGGGAGGGACAGTTACCACCAAAGAGCTCTTCCTATAAGGTTCTCACAATGGCATAGGGTATAAGAACTTCCATAAACCCTAGCTCCTCTCATAAACCCTGACAGATTAAAATCTGTCATAATTTTGATCAAAATTTACATGGGCAGAACATACTGCATTTATGAGGGAAGAACAGGAACCTTCAAGAGGCATTAAGTAGTCCAGTGAGAGAGCTGAGGGTTCTCATGGGAAGGAAGGAAGCCATGCCTAGAGTGGAAAGAACTTTATATTCTAGCTTTGCATGGCTGGAGCTCCTTTTCATTAAAAATAGCAGCTGAAACCTCTCTAGTCTTCCCTGACAAAGAAACCACTAACAAAAGCCACTTTTTTCATAGCCTGTATAAGCATCAAAGAAAAGCTCCATTAGAGCAGAAATGACCTTATTCATTATGATGACCTGTTGTTTCCTCCAGTATCTGAGGGCGTACACGATCTTCAGTAAGCCTCTTGTGGAACGAACATTGAAGCCAGACAGGGGAAGCGAAACACCTAACCAAAAATAAAGTAGGGAGGTCTACTTCTTAGTGGTTGTGAAGATTTGAGAATGGGAGCTGGCAAATAATTTAAGTACCTAAAATAGTTGCTGGTCTTATTTGGTGAGTAGCGGGGAAATGAGAACTGATAAAGTCTGGCAGGACCTTGAGACCAGGCTGAGCCTGGATTGCAGGCAGCAGGATGCTATCAAAGGCTTTTTGAGTTAGGACTGTTTTCAGCAGTCAACTTGGTGGCCCAAAACAGGACAGATAACAGCAAGGGATAGATGAAAGAAATGAAGTATGTGGAATCGGATGCAAAATGTATTGAGTTACCATGAAACCAACCCCCACCTGCCCGCTTGTCACAGCAAATCCCGCCGGATTGCATCATGAGTCTGCAAGAGACAGCTTGTTGAGTATTAGTTGAATTTTGAAAGCCCTTGGCACTTGTCACACCACTTTAATCTGTCGTTTTTAACACTCTACCTAAACTGAAAGCTCCCTAAGAAGCACGCGCTTTATGCTGTATCTTCCTAGTAACTAACGAAGTCCAATAAATTTTGCTTGTTTTTTGAGGCACAATTTTGATTAAAATAGTAACTTTCAATAGTAGCGTTTTCTCATCTGTACAATGGTATCACTTCCACCAGCATTGTTAAGTTGTGTCAGGCTCAGATGAAATATTTCTAAAGCTTAGTGTAATACCTAGCACGGTAATTACTTCATAGTGTCAAGAACAGAACACTATCCCCTTAATAAAAACAGCACTCTTAATAAGTTTATATATCCCAAATATCCGTGGCTCTGATTTATAATACTGCTTTGAGAGTGTTGATACCGCCACCTGTCCAAGCCAAGCTTGAAAATCACCACCCAGTGGTACATGTCAGAATCTTCTGAGGCAGTCTCCATGAGCAGCAACCCCACCCCAACCTCCAAAGACTGTGCCCTGCTTCACATTTTACTAGTGACTTGTCTCTCTAAGGGTAGTAGCAGGGTTTGACACACATGACCAGCACACACTCATGCTTGTGGAAATTGACTTCTTATGGGGACTTCTTTGGGACCTCACAATTGACAACACTCCCCAGGAAAGGATAATTTCACGGGTTCCAAGAACAGAAAAATCTAAGGCATTCATTCACCCTCTAAAAGGACAATAAAACTAAAAATGCTCAAGAACAAATGATAGAACCCAGAGAACTCCAGGCAGAAGATTCTGTATCTCACCTTCCCTCTCCCAAGGGCTACTTGGAGATGGAAGAAGAGCTGTCAATCATAATGTAGGCATACGGTGAGGGTAAGAGACTAAAGGGACTTATACTTTATTCCATCTGTCAAACTCCAGAGAGCAAGTATCGGACAAGCATTCCACCAAACATCAAAGGCCCTCCTAGGCGTGGTAGATTTCAAACTCCAGCTCCACATCACTGTCTGGCTTAAGTCTCTTCCTCTGAAAGATACAAAATGTTAGAGAAATCAGCCATGTCGAACTGGTGAACTGCTTATGATTTCAGCGCCTCCACTCAGAAGTCATGTCTTTCAGAT